GCTTATCCTGCTGCAGCTCATGGGCACCAGAGCATGGCCCCGCCAGCAGCACAGAGCTGTGTGCTCTCAGGACACAGCCAGATCGGGCATGGATTTAAGTTTCTGCAGTTGGCTGAAGGGAGGAAGAGAAAGGAAAGGGTTGTTCCTGGAGGACATTGGCTAGCTGGTCTGCAGGTTTGGGATCACTCTGTTCTTCCGGGTCTCTCCTCTGCTGTGTGCAAGCACTACATGCAGTTCGACACTCATGAGCTGCAAACAACTGTTCAGGCACTTTGGGGGGAAGTTTGGTACAAAGCTTCAGGAGCAGGAGGCCAAGCAGAAAAGGCCAGTTTAGACTGCAACTCTTCTGTCAAGTGACATTTTAAAGGGACATGAATAGCCCTCAGATTCCTCAGAGACAGATGACCGAGAAGCCAGGCGAGCCTGGTCTGGTACAATGTTCACATGAAGGGGTCCCCCACAGGCATCCAGCCACGGCTCAGGCTGCTCACCCTGCAAGACATTCCCACAAGGTGCAATAACCTCCCCTTGCTAAGGAAAACCTTAGAGAATCTGATACTGTTATCAGCTTTCTTTTTTGTTTGTTTTAAAGAAAAGGTATTTCCAACTTAAGAGAAGTAAAAGCTGCAGATGCTTTACATAGCCCAGCAGTCTAGTGCATGGGATAATGAACATTTCTTTATGATACTGGATTTTCAAGAATGCCCAAATCCCCAGTCAACATCCATATCAAAGGGGTAGCAATCCAAAAAATCCCTGGCTAAACAGGTCAGGGCCTGCCCACAGAAAATGCAAAACACTTTAAGGGAAGTACAAAGACTAGCTACAAAGCTGGTGTCTATCTGCAAGCTATACAAGTTACATACCCACACAGTGGGCCACTGAGAAGAAACTCTAAGCTGACTAATGTAACCATCCCCAAAATGCTCAGGCAAGGGTTACCTGCATGGTACAGCGACTTTTGCTTTGATCTCCAGGAAATGTCTGTTTATTCAAAAGCCTGTTTGCTATAGCAACCACGGTTTATAGAAAAGGAGGGAGGGGGAAGAGAAATCCCCAGTGCTTTGCTGCAAGAGTTGTACCACCACTGGCAGAGTCATGAGGTTAAGCATCTGGGGCCAAATGACATTTCAACTAACTTCCAGAGAACTCGGCAGACTCCATGCTGGAGCATCTCGACAGGCTGCTGCAGGAGGGTCCCAAGTGTCCACAGATCAGCTGCCACAGTGTGTTGGGCTGTCCAGCAGAGACGTCCATTGTCCCCTGGAAGCAGAGCTTTCCCACAGGAATGTTGGAGTTCGTCACTCCGAACAAGACTCTCCTTCCCAGTCACCTTATTGCTCCTCTATGAGAGGAGACACTCGGAAGCAGAAGAAGCAAGAGATCAAAAGTTCCTCCCTTCCTTTGAGGTTTCAGTCTGTTGTTTTGAAAGGGAAAAAAAAAAAAACAAACAAACAACAAAACAAACCACATAACCCTCAAGAGGGACAACACACACAAGGTCTGTTGCTCTTCCTTCCCATGTACTAATAATTATCAGCACAAATTCAGCAGCATTGATTGTAAGCATTTAAAACCCATACCGTAGTCCCAATCCTCATCCACACAACAGCTTTAAAAAGTCCGTTCTTAAAGTTCCATGTATATTGGATGAGGGGGATTTGCCTTTGTGTTTCCAAGTCCTACATCACATTTCAGGGAAAAAAAGACTTTAAAATGTGGCCTAGCCACAAGGACTCAAACCAGACTTTTTTTTTTTTTTTTCATAACATGAGATTCTCAGCTTTCATTCAGTGCCCCATTTCCAGCAGCTGGGATTTATGCAAAAGAACATCAAATGCCACAGGGCTTATAATAAAAATAAAATAAAATCATGAAAGTTCCCACCACTGCAGTTTTGCAAGCCTCCCCAGGCTGTTTTCAACCGGCACAAGACTGCTTGGCATCTGCCACGAGCAAAGAAAAAAAGGTGGAGGGGGAATGATGAGATAGCAACGGTTGGTGCGGGCACAGCATCTCTGCAGCGCTGAGGAAGTTCATGCTGGATGCTGTTATCTCATCGGTTATATTCCTGGGGACTCACTGGGGTCCTCCAAGCCCTTGCCTGTGGCTTGCAGTAGGCTCTGTCCCAAGTGAGAACTGGGGTTCTCCTCCTTCAGTCTGACGCCAATCAGGTATAAAAGCATGAAGAATTTGCTGGTTTATGCTTTCATTTCAGTGCTATGGATTTCAAAGCAGCTGCTGTAGGATAAGCCACTTCCCTTTGCACAGAAAGGTTTTTTTGCTCCATAAATATTGCATGTCACCTTCTGGGTACTGAAACGCAAAGCCAAACCCTGGCAGAGAGGGGCCATGGGGACCTAATGGAGCTCAGGGCGGGACAAGGAAGCTTCTGCAGCAGCAGCCACCACTGAAGGCCAGGTTTCCTCACATATTTTCCTTGTTAGTTCAAGAGTCGGAGAACAGTCAACAGACTGATTTAGCAAGAGCCCTTCTGAGCGCTGAGCCCCTCTCAGCGCCGTTGGCTGAGACCGCTTGTGGCACAGACCGAGCCATAAATTATTCAGAGCCAAAGAGTTCCTGCCATCCAGGAGGTTGGGCACATCTGGAACCCTCACCAGCCTGTCTGCATGCTCCCACTCCTGCCCCTTTCTCACTTTGAACATTGTCTTTCCACGCCTGGCTGCGAGGACAAGGAAACCACAGCAGATCGCTGACCAGACACACACCCACAACAGTTTTACCCAAAGCCTGAGCCACTTGAAGCCAAAAATGCAGCAGAGTCCATGCACCCATCGTGCAAATGGACCATTTGCAAATGGTCCAGCAAAATGCTGGCTAAAACAACTGCATAGACAGAAATGGGGATGGGATATGGACAAGAACATGGAAGCTGGTGTTTATATTTGGGTGCAAATTTTCCCCAGCAGCACTGGTGACCAAGAAGCAGAAGCCTTTGACTTTGGGAAAACCTGGTGGCGACTAGAAGCCTTCTAGAAGTATAACAGCCTGGCTTATTTACTTCCCTCAAAGCTAGTAAAACACTAGAGCATTAATAAGAACAGCCTGAGCAATGAAATGCAAATGCCACTCAAATAATTAAATAAAGAGAACGATCCTCCTCCCAAAACAATGGATGGGGCTGTAACATCTACCCTCACGGGAGAGCTTCATACAGGAGGCTCTTGTTCCAGTAGCTTCAAAAAGGCTGTTTAATTTTAGTAGGTCATCAAGCGTACGACATTACAAAGCACTTCTCAGACAAAAGCAGAGCTGAGGAGCTCTGCAATCCATTTTCCCCACAGGAAGGAAGGCAAAGCTTCCTATTGCGGGGAGGCGGTGGAAGGGGAAAGGGGAGGGGGCTGACATTTCAGAGAGAACAAACTAGGCCAACATATAAAACTCAGGCAGACCAGGCACAGAGGAGGGAGGTAAAAACAGCATAACAGGGTAGAATATAAACCAGCCCCATCTCTCACCCAAGCTCAGTGTATGTTTGCCTTTTTAATTTTGCTGAGATTAGTTTTGCTGCAGTTGCAATCTGTTCAAATCCCTAGTCCTCTCCTAAGAGAGATATTTGCCTTTCACTTCCTTAGAAGGGTACATATTTACTTTGTTCTTTAACATAACCCAGGGCTCAGCATCACGATTAGCAGCCATCCAAATACCAAGTCTCTGGACAACCTGCAGCCCAGCTCCCTCAAATCAAGAAGATGCACAGAAGGAAACGCTCAGCAGCAGGTGCTGCAGCCCTCTGAGTGGGCTGTCACAGAGAAGTTGGGGGTTTTATTGATGGATTTTTAAATAAGGAGGTACACCGACACATGCAGACATTGCAAAAGGTGCTTGCTGAATAAGCACACATTGCCTGCAAAACCAGCACCTCTCCCGCACTGCTTAACAGAGAAACGACCTAGACATGGATTGTGTTATTCCAGAGACAGCCCAGCTCAGCCTGTGGCTCCCTTGGCACAAGCAGGGACCAGTGGCTCTGACAGCTCAGCTCACACAAGTGCAAGTCTCAAAAGCTGAGATCTCTCTTTTTAACTATGGTAAGATTACCCTGGTAGGCCACGATGGTATGTGAAGCATTAAAAAGAGGAAGGAAAAAGGAAAGAGAGCTGCTGATTGCACTCTTTGACACTCTCCTGACTTGCCAGTAGTTATAAGAGCAGCAGACGAACTGGGCAAGAAGATGGGTTTCACCTGATTTCCACTATTGTGACAGAGGCACACCTGCACGCACAGTTATTTGTGTCTAGCATGGGGCAAGTACCTAAGGGCACACGCCCTTACCCTCTCCAGCCCCCTGCACTCTTCCCGTGGCAGGACACAGGGAGGTGCCTTTCACACTCACCTTCCTCTGCTGCCAGGGACTCAAAGAAAACAGTAGCCAGGGAAGAAAAAAAAAAAAAAATATATATATATATACACACACCTGCCAGGCTAGAGGAAGAGATGCAGGAGCCTGATATTCCAGCTGCAGCACAACTAGCCATTGCACTAACCCACTGGATTGCATTTATGTCCCTGTGCCTCCACAGCCATAGGAAACAGAAGTCTTGCTATCAGTCCTCTGCATTACAGATGCTGTGCCAGAAATAAGGCAAAAATCAAAAAACCTTCCATCTGAGCTTTCAAAAGAAGGACTGAGTGGGGAAGAGATACCCTTATCAGTGCTGCACTTTCTACCTTTACAAACTCCAAATGGTAAAAAAACCCAACAACTCCAGTTTTCACTTTACAGTCAAGATCCCTTGATCTTCCCTGGGTTATTTATAAAAAGTTTTAGTTGGAAGATAGATTGACCATCGAAGAAAGTGGGGGAAAAACGGGCACTGTTCATGCAGTGAGTAGAGCACAGCCTGTGAGTCATTTTCAACTCACAGTGATGCTTCCAGCTGCTCCAGAGGTTTTGCTTTGCCATAGGTTCACCATTTCCTCTCAGTAGAGTGAGAAACACACAGCTGTACAGGTCACACACAGCAACAGCCTCTTACCCAGAGCTTGCCATCCCAATAAAACGCTCCCAGCAGCTTGACGATGTGCCGGTGATTGCAGGTCGCCAGTATTTCAATCTCCACCATGTAATCCTCAAGTTCATCTTCACTCTTTGTTTCAATGACTTTGGCAGCTGCTAAAGCACCGGTTTCCTTATTCTTGGCCTGCAAGACAAAACTGGCATGAGTACAAAGGCAAGGAGAGCCAGGAGCACACAGCACTTGCACCATTCCTGCTCTTCCAGTTCATGCTCAGCTTGACTGGTACCAGCCACAGCACAACCATGGAAACATGAAGATGCGTTTCTGCTTCCTAAACCTGCCCAGAGCTTCACAGAGAGAATGAATGCTGTGTAAGGGCCAAAGCATCCTCCTTCCTCCCTCCAGTCTCTAATGCCCACAAAACTTCCCATCATGTTGAGAAAAAGGCTTTTAAAAAATGAGATTCACCCTAGTATTTGTAACATGAAAAAAAAATGGAAGAAGAAACCCTCAGAGTATAGAGGCTCTCTGCTATATAGGAACTATACTATAGTGATAGTTCCATTTAATATAAGTCCCGAGGACACAGAAAATCTAACCAAATTCACAGTATAACTGTGAACCATCTCCACCTTGAACATCCCTTTTCTGTAACACGTGAGGGAAATGTAGGGATCACCTCCTTGCCAGGTAAACCAAGAAGGCTGTATTTTCATTTCCCAGGACTGGCTGGCATTCCTGATGCTGCATATTAGTGAGCTCTTCAGATCACCGTAAGAAAAACACTACACATGCTCTCCTCCCAGCTGCCCCTTACATTTTATATAGTCCCATTAACCAGTTTGTTCACCAAATAACTATAAAACCATTAAAATTCCATTGCCCTAGTGGCTGGAAAACTTCTGCTGACTTTCCCTCCCCATTCCTCAGAATATCTCAGGAGCGTACCCTTGGGTTAGCAGCTTGCTGACCTCCTTCCCGCGCAGACCCCCTTCCCCAGGCAGCTCTCACTGCCAAGGAAGGGGTCACCAACAGCTGCACAGGTGCTGCTCTGCTTGTAGGTGCCGCACACCAGCAAAAGGCTATTAATGCTGTGCTGGAAGCATTTGCAGACATGTTTCTTATCACCCCACTCCTCTTGCGCCCCCATACTGCAAGGGGAAAAGGCAGCTGACAGAGGCTCGGCTAAAAGCAAAGCATCTGTAAGCAGGCAGTACCAGGCGAGCCCTGGAGCTGCTCCCCTGCAGGGCTGTTCTGGCATCACCACCCAGCACTGCCCACTGGCTTCCCCCAAAACTGCCAGGGCAAGTCTGCATTCCGCAATCGGGAATCTGCACGATTTGTTGCAAGAATTACAAGTTTGCCACACAATGCCAAAAGGGCGTTTGCAAGAGTTGGCACACAGGGCTTCACTGCGAGAGGTGTCACACGCTGGGAGAGGGGGCGAGATGGGAGCTGCTGACCCAGGAGCTCCTGCCCTGCCCAGAAGCGCATTGAATCAGCAGATTAAGGGACAGGAGAAATCCCTATAGCTCACCAGCTCAGGAGATTCACAGTGGGATTCCAGTTCATTACCTGTTTTCCTTCCATCACACCATTCCGGAGTTCCTCTCCCCTGGGGGAGAAAGTCCCACCATGGATGTTATTATCACCAGAGGAGCTGGGCAAACTCCAGTTGTGACCTTTCTTTCTGCTTTGCAGTTTACATATCTGTGTTTAGAAACCTATGTGGGAGCTCACAGGAGGATTAATTCCTAGTATAAACACCACAAAGCCATGCTGAACAGTTTTACATATCTGAGGTGATAGTTTAACTGTGTACCAAGGAACAGGGGGAAGGAATAAGGGGAAAAACATACAAGAGAGGGAGGAAAATAAGGGACCCCGACTCTCTGCTGGGTTTTGAAGACTTGTTGCATTCACACAAGTTGGCATGGACAGCTGTGTCATTACCACAGGGGACAAACCCATTTCCATCTCATCTGGGCTCACTGCCCAAATTCAAGACAAACAGTTCATGCTGGTTGCAGAAGAAATTACGGTAGTTTTTCTCAGGTTGGCTTGTTTCTGACCAAGTTGCTACCAGATGCCCCAATGAGGGCACGCAGAGTGGGGCAGAGGGAGATGCAGAGCAGAGCAAGCATGGGGAAAAAGCACAATGCTTCCAAAATGGAGCAAGAAGTGCCCCAGTGTGTTTGCTCGGCACTTACAGCGCTGGGAGAGGTCCAAGGAGGGGAAGTAAATATTGTGAGAAGAGGTGGGGCTTCCCTTGGAGGTCAGCCATCGCACGCTTCCCACCGGCAGGGTCCCGGCCAGCTCAACCCTTGCAGGATGCTGGGGCCCTGCAGGCATCTGAAAAAACCCAGGAGCAGAACATGCCCCAGCCCCACCACCCCCGCCGACCCCATCAGCTCCCACAGAGGCACAGAGGTCTCAGCCAACTTGCCCTCGCCCCCAGGCCTCAGGGGAGCCCACCCAGAAGCCACGCTGCCACCGCTCGTCCCCTCCTGGGCTCACTAAGGCGTGCAGGGGCGCTGCATGCGGAGCTGGTGGACATGGTTTTGCAAACCAGGCTGCAAGCTGTGAGTGGGGGAGTGACTGCAGCCCACACGTTCTCTGTGGCAGCCTGACATCATTCATCATTACTCCTACAACTAGGAGGTGAACAACCCAGCAACCCCCAGCGATCACTTCCTTTCTAGATAGAAAGCAGCCCATGTAACCCCTGCCTGACATTCAGTCTTTAAAGATGCCCGTAACAGAATTAGCTGCTGCCTTTCTCCACCACTTTGAATTGTCCTGATGAGCGTATTTCTCCAGATATCTCCATTTCCTCATCCACTCTAGTGGGGGATGCAGGGGATCCCATGAGCTGTGCAAGGTGGGCTTCCATCCCAAAGGGAGAGCAGCACTGCTGTCCCATGTTCCCCCAGGCCAGGGGTCCCTGGGGGATCACATCACTCTGTTACACCAGCAGAAACGAGGCCACCACCCCTGAGAAGTCAGCTCAGGACAGCATGAGCTTGTGATACAAGAACGTGAGCTTTTCAAACAGCAATCTCACATGGGCAAGGATGCCCAGGGGATGGTGTGGGCACGAACTCTGTACTTTCTGTGGCCCTGCAATAATGTCACTGCTACAACCAAATGCACTCGTGGCACTTCCCAGAAGGAACGAAAATGCCCCACAGCCCCACGGGACAGCAGAAGCAGCTGAAGTAGGGAGGGGACCTGAGACCATGAGGTCAGTAGAAGATTTTGAAAAATGAATCTCCTCCAGTATGGCCAACTGCAGTGTGGATAGGAGGCCGGTTGCGCCTTTGAGAGGACACTCATATAGGCTGGATCCCCTCCTGAAGTGTCCGTGGCGCCACTGAGCCCAAACCCTGTCTGTAGTGTTTCTACCATACCAGACGGAGGGATGCACACCAGCTGGCCTGGAAGCTCCTGAGCTGAGTTAGACAAGTCACATTTGTTATTGCAAGAGCTTTGGAAATCCAAGGAACTTCTGCCCATTTGTCCACCTTCCTTTTCTCTCCCTCTGCTTGTCCTCCAGCTCTGACACCAGGCTACAGCCATGTTCCTGGTGGTCTCCCTGGGAATGGCAGCTGCCTGCCATCAAGCAGATGGCTGCATCGGAGCCCCTCGTAGCAGCCAACCAGCTCCAAAAGCTGCTCACAGCAAGCCAAATTCATACAGTCAGAGTCAGATTTTGGCCAGGTATGCTGGGTAGTCTCTATGTAACTTATGTCTGGCAATTTCCTTCAGCTTCTCTGCTGGCATTTTCCTGCACACAATGTATTATGACAGAGATATTCTTCCAGGAAGGTTTGTTTGAGTCCTAAATAGGCCAAATGCATACATTGCCAGCCCTGGGAGCCGGTTTCAGACATCCCAGGCATGAGATGATGCTTTAGGGTTTAAAACCCTTTCCTGATTTCTGCTTATCTTTGTGCAATAGATCAGAATCTGCCCTGGAGACATTAACACAAAGCAAAACACAACCCGCTCTGACCTCAAAAAGCTAAACTAGCAATTAGGCAGAAGGAACTGGCATCTCCAAGGCCTAGACGATACCCCTCACAGCAAGGGGACACACAGCGCCAGGCTGAGAAGAGGCAGCATCTGCTGCTCGCTCTCCAGGAGCTGCGGGATGGAAGAGAAGGGTTGCCACCAGCCTCTCTGCAGCTTCATCTCTGCCTTGAGCTTCACTGGGGGTCATGCCCTCATCCTGCAGCAAGGGAAATGTAAACCCTTCTCATGGTAGGTGTTTTGTTTGTCTTTAAATCCCTAAGAAAGGACGAGGCAATGATAAGATGAAAGAAGAAAACCAAGAACTCTCAATAAAGTACCCAAGGGTTAGTGGTTTTGTTAGTTGAGTGAGTTTGTTAGCCATAGCCACATCATTTGAAATGAAAACCTGCAAAACACAGTTTGAACTACAAATCTAAAATCTTCTGCAAACCCCAGCCTAATTACAAGGTCTCCAACTCAGCAAAAGTCCATGCAGAGAATTCAGAGATGAGGAGAGAGCTTCTATTCCCAGGTAAAACACCCCCAAATGTGCAGCCTTTGAGGAATCCCTGGTGTTTCCCATTTTTTCCAGTGAAATTTGTGGATGGGGGGAAAGAATCACCCAGATGGTAAGATCCCAAGAACAGAAGCTGTTTGATGGCTGTCTGTGGACTATGGCTGGTCAGTCAAAAGCACACATCCAGTTCATCTTTTAGCTCCTCCACTCCTGGGCATTTTAATGCCATGGATAATTTGTCCCTGGAGTGCTGATTAGGACCCCCCAAAAAATAGAGCAGAGAACTGCCAGCATAGTGCCCAGGATGTGCTGCTGAACTATAGTTAAACTCATTGCAGTCTTGGCATTTAAAACCTGAAAAGCCCTTATGGCCACTACCGGCCTTTGTGCAGATCAACACACCACACAGACCATGGCTGACAGGTCTATGCAGAAACAGGAATGGAACATGCATTCCACAAAAACATATCAAATAAAAGTTATCCAGTAAACCACTTATACAAAGTCACGCCAAGAGCCAAGCAGGATACAAAGCAGGATCTTGCCGGAGTCCTCTGGAGCAAGATGGGTGCTGGACATGCTACTGCCAAACACACTGGGAATACCAGGGAATAGGGAATGAGTAGGATTACTCCTAGAAGCACAGAGAAACTCCCGCTCATTTTATGGATTTAAGGGGTGAGAGGCGCCTGTTCAGGTGACTGAAGAGTCCGATTGGCCTTCGATTGTGACTCACCCTCCAAGCTATTGTGAAATCCAGATTGTGACAAACGCAGGAACTATTTTAAGCATTTAAAGAACACATTACCGGAAGGCTGGATTGTTCAGTCCTTCCTCAGGCAGGACTGCTGCCGAAGGCACGGCCAGTTTCTAGGTGAGGCAGAGGAAAACCCTGCATGAACTCTCACTCCCTAGCAGAACGAAGAGAGCTAGCACCAAGAGCGCCCTGATTGCTTCATCTAGGCTTGCCTGCCCACAGTATCTTCCCAAACCAAGGGACGATCTTTTTTAAGCTGGTCTGCCATACTGTGCCACCATACCTTTGGTGTGAGCTATTCTTCCTATCCTTGTAAACCTTCTCTCCATGCCAGGAGAGCTGATGCTTCAAGTATCACTGAGTTGGAGAACCTGGAGTAAAAAGCCTGGTACTTTCAGTGGATGCTGTATTTGGGGTTGATAATTCTGACTTCCCCTGTCTCCATGCACCATATTCCTGTTGTGTGGATTTGTATGCAAGCAACTGCTCACTTACATATTTCTCAGGGATTATGTAATGATTAATTCCCTTCCAATGAACTTTGCCTGAGCTGTCTGCATCAATAAACAAACACAGAATAGACAGGCTTGAGTCAGTGCTCATACTATTGTCAAATAATCAATGGGAGCTGAAATGAGTTCCATGCCCAACAAACCTCCTGGAGACACTTCAGTTTGTTACCATAATGAAGCCTGTTTTGGGTTTGTATGGAAATGCCAAATTCAGCCCTTGGTACCACCCAGCAGAGCTGCTGGTGACAAGCAGGCATGGGCACAGGCACAGGAGTAAGGCTGGCACAGCCCTGCTCTAGCAGCCCCCAGTACACACACACACACACACACACACAGAGAGCAGCCCCCACA